AATTTTGAAGCTCCTAGACGGGCTCTAAATATGATAAATCATTGGTCCTTATTGTCAGTCTGAAATCTGAAATAAATTTGTTAATTTTTCAGAAAACACCAAATAATTGTATAATAAGCCCTCCAAATATATCAAAAAAGTCAATTAAATCCCCAAAGTAAAGAAACACCCAATTAACACCTTGAACTTTATATAAACGCTCGATTGTACTACGTATAATTTAGCGGGTTAACATTAGGTTAGCCAGTTACTAAAATCCATGTGGTGGCACACGTGTCAACATTTACTTCCGTGCTCCCTATTCCCTTCTTCTTTCTTGTGCCACCTCACCAACCCAAAATAATGAGTGTTTTTTTTTCTTTTTTCATTCTTTCTCCAACCCGACCTCCTCTCCAGTTCTGTTTTCTTCCATCCACGTCTGCCGTATGTGTTTCTTTATCTTTTTTTTTTACTTCCTGCTTGCCTTTAGGCATGGCAATGGGTCGGGGCGGTACTGCAAGACCCGGACCCGCCCCGTGGCTTGGCGGGGCGGGTCCGCCCCCGCCCCCGCCCCATGACCTTTACGGGTCCAAACTTGTTGACCCATGACCCGCCCTATGCGGGGCGGGTCCGCCCCGCCCCGCCGTAACCTAATTAGCTAGTACTCCGTATGTATTTTTATTTGTGAGAAGTTGTTACCAATTGAATCTACATAAAGTTTATCTCTAAATAATAATTAAAAATTAATATAGTAAATCAATTCATGATACGCTAAAAATTTCAAAAGTTAAGGAAAAATTACCCAGACTTGAATAGTTAATCTACTTAATTATATTAATTATTGAATATATGTATTAAAATGTTATATATATAAAGAAGACATTGATAATCCGTCGTTCATGTCATTCTAATATATACGGAGTGTATACACACACACACAGATATATATATATTAATATACGGAGTATTATAAGATCAAAGAATTTATTATTTATTGTATAAACACATATGTATGTTGAAGTATATTTGTAGAATAATTTAAGAAAAAGTATATATACTTATATATTGAGCGGGTCGGGCCGGGGCGGCATGGGTCAATACTAATACCCGGACCCGTCCCATTGTATAGGCGGGGTGGGGCGGACCCGTCCCATTTGCAAGACGGGCCGGGCCGGACCCACCCCAAATGTCTTGGGCCAGGGCGGATCATTGCGGGTCAGTTTTTTTTTTTTACATCCCTACTACTTGCCTTCTGATATTTTCTTCCTTATGCAGTTATGCTCAGTCAGCTCACAAAAGTTCCGAAAATGGGGATCATGAGTAAGGGGCTGCGTGCAGGGGTTTCCCGACTGGGATACGGCTAATCGCCGGTGCATCATTCGATTCATTATTTTAACTAATATATTTATGTGAAACTTAATAAATTTATACTTTTATGATAATATTTTTAACAAGGAATAGATTCATATCATTTTCATATTATCAATATTACCGTGTATAAATATATAACTAGTGTTGTACCCGGACGTTGCCCCGGGCGGAGGTTGTGAATGTTTGAGTACTTTGTAAAATATATATTTCATAAAATATATGAATAATTAATCATTTTACTTCAAATAAATTTTTGTTGGTTGTGAATAATAATTTAATTAAAGCGAATATATTAAAAAGATACATTATAATGTAACACCGCACATACCAAATATCGCATTGTTAGGCTTAAATTACGTAACCTCTTTATAAACAACATTCACCTTCTTGGTGAATAATTTTGTTTCCTTTGAACATATGAATATATTAAGATATCTTTTCTCATTACTCTTGGTATAGCAATATACAATTGGTTATTAATGAAACTTGTCTCTCGAGGTATAAATCAAATTTTATGTGATAACATTTAGTCTTGACTTTTGTTGATTGTCACTGCAAAGATTACCATCACACGAAATTGCTTTATTCGGAAATTAAATAAAGTTGTCATGTGGTGACAAAGAGATTTTCAATATGTAAACTTTATTTTTCATTATTTTTTGAATTATGACTTGCCATACTTGTTTTTCAAACTGGTTATGACTAATAATAATTACTTGCACTATGCATTTTCTAAATTTGAATTTTTAATTTGAAATTCTCAATTCGTGATTAAATTTTTCTCCTACTTTAAGGGTGATTTAAAAAGTAGTTTTATCAGTAAATTAAAAATGCAAAATTTTAAAATAAGTAGGAAAATTACATCAATTAGTTTTCATTGATATATCCAATGTTAAAAATAGACGGACATTTTCATCGCATATTTTTCAACATAAACTATTGTTTAAATTGAGTATCATATAAGGAAAACTAATCATTATACTCTTACTACTAAATACTCCATACTAAATAACTACGGAGTATAAAACTCACTTTATTTTTTGAAAATTCAATTTATTCTTTTTATATGTTTCTTTTTGTTTTTAAACAAAAAACTATTATTATTAAAAGAAACCTAGTATTTTATAATAGAAAATTTATACTGTGCATATGAATAACAGTGTATAAATATGAAATAAAATTAATAAGTATTAGTTCTTACATATTATTTGGTCGTCCGTGCAACGCATGAACTTGACTTGACATATAGTATTAGTATATATAGTGAAAAGGAATATGAACTATACAAAGCATTTCAAATCTATGTATTTTATTGGAATAAATTATATAAAGTATTTCAAAAAAAATGAATGAAAGTTTTAAAAATTATGCATGATTTTTTAGAATCAATTGATAAAGCGTTATAAAATATGGAATGAAATCCAATATTATATATCATTTTTGCTCTCTAAATGGAATGATTGTATTATTTGTAGTTTATTTGGAAATTGATGCTCCATAATAGAGTAATATTCCAGTCAGGACATCTTGATCGGAACTGCCATCCAGACGCCACAATTTGAGACAGTTCCGAGTGATTTTTTCTTGATGAAATTACGTAAGCATATTCTAGATTATATCTACAAACTTTCATCTTAACATTCGACCGGGAAGTCAAATAAAAATATTATTGAAAAACACTGCACCAAAATATTTATATACACAATGCAGTATTTTTAATAATTTGTTTATCTGACTTCCTAATCGATTTTAAGGTCAAATTTTGTGAACATAATTTAAACCTTATAAAGAACACGCTAAAAAAAATCAAAAAAACCATCGAGAACAATCTCAAATCGCGGCGGCTAGACGGCAGTCCTCCTCCATAATTCTGATGGTGAAATTTTCCACTTCGTAATTTAGATAAATACCATGAATTTAGGACTTTATTGCAGTTAATTTAATGAATATACACTATTTGGATTCAATAGTAATCAATTGAGTAAATACTATGAATTTAGCACTTAATTGCAATAATTAATAACTACGTAGTATTTACTAATTGGTCTCAATAGCAATTAATTGAAAATTCAATTTCAATTAGAAGGTTGTGCTTTATTATTAAGTAAGTAGATTAAATTGGCCAGTCTAGTGCCAATAAGGATGTTTTTTACTTGGACTATAATATGTCTCATACCAGAGCAGACCAGACCAGATCAGATTTGGATAGTTATAGAAACACAAAGATATCAGACCATACCAAGTCAGACCAGATCAGACCAGATCAGACCAGTAAATTACAGTCCAAATAAAAACATCCTAATACAACATTTGCGTTCTGCGGCTCACTCCATTAATTGACAATCACATCTAAGGTACTCGTATATGATATCCGTGATTTACTACGAAAATGAAAGGATTTAACTATTTAAGTATGTTTTATGGTTAGTATGTGGGATGTAATAAACGTAAGCCACATTAATTTCCATATTAGTTTTGTACTTAATAGCAATTATTTAATTAATCCATTGTACTCAATAGCAATTTATTAATTGAACTCAATAGCAATTATTTTACAATTCAATTTCAATTAGAAGATTGCGCTTTATTTATAAGTAAGTAGATTGGTCGAAGTTTAACATGACTGACTTGAAAAGTCAAATATGAATAGATAAAAAGGGATGGAGTACAAAAGTAAAATACTAATAAGTTAAAAATGTAAAAAATGAAAAATAATTCGAAAAAGGTAAAGTATAAATACGTTTTTTACAAAAAAAAAGGAAACTTGTTTATTAATGATAAAAGTAACCAGATATAAAGCAATATAATTGAAAGATAATTGAAAGAAAACAAATTGAAAGAAAATTGAAAGAAAACAAATTGTCCAAACTAGAAAGAAAACAAATTAGAAAACAAATTGTCCAAAGTAGAAAGAAAACAAATTAAATCAAGAATTTCGGCTTCACCAGCCAGTCAGCCACCGGAAAGGGAGAATTGGTTTGAATAACAACCAACAAAGGAAACTCAGCCGAACAGAAAATTTCTGAATCACCAGTTTGACCAGCCACCGAAAAGGAGATCCACTTGAGCTTGTTCTTCTTCCTAGAGCGAGACGGTGGTTCAGGTGGAGGACGAGTAATTGAAGTCTCGGAATAACAATGTTAAAAAGTTTTGCCAGCCAATAACAACGAAAATTCCCCAGATCGATTACACCGATGAGGAACACACAATCTCTAGACATTGCTAGGAGAATAACACATTATACGCTCACATGAAGTGGACAAAACTCTCGGCCAACGAGAAGCCGGAACAAAACTCTCAAAAAAAAGAGCGGAAGCATTGAAAAACCTTTAATTTGATCTTTCATTGTCTAGAGAATGTCACGATCTTCCAAGACTATTTCTGATTGAAGAAGAGAAGGCTAAAGATCAAATTTGGAGAAGGCCCGAGATGATCGCCTAGGGTTTTTCCTAGAGGCAACTCTTCTTACGAGTCGCAACACTCCTTTATACAAACCGGCTACCAATTTGTAAAGTATAAATACGTTGAACCAGGGCCAGTTCTGACAATTTATAGGCTCGGGACAAAAGATAAAACATAGGCCCCTAATTAGATACTACGTATGTCGTAAGAATGCATTTCAAAAGTTTAATTGTCAAACATAAAATTCATTACACAAGTAAATGTTTTTGTCCATAGAACTATATGTATCATAAGCCATACAAAACAATTTTTAGGCATTCTTAGAAACAATTTTTAGGCATTCTTAGAAACAGTTTTTGAATTGCCCAGTTGTGAAGAACATATGGCAGGGGATGGGGCTGCCGTTAGTGACAGAGGGGGAGGGGCTAATGGTTTGGCTCCAGAAAGCTTTTACCTCAGTGGCAGTAGAAGATATTTGCAGGCTAATTATGGCTCTTTGGGCTATTTGGAAGGGCAGAAATGAGATAGTATGGAAGGAAGGCTTTTTTTGCTTGGCAAGTGTGAAACGTGTTGCTGCTACCACATTAGAGAGCTGGAGGAAAGCCCAGGAGGCTAGCAGCAGACTGAGGTGTAATACCTCACCTCAAGGAGTACACCGTTGGCAGAAACCGGAGATGGATTGGATAAAAATCAATGTAGATGCGGCTAGTAATGTTAGAAGCGGAAAGTGGGCATGGGCATGTGTTGGAAGAGATAGCAATGGTAACTTTCTGGGAGCTATTAGTCGAGTTGTAAAAGCCATTTGGTCACCGGTAGAGGCAGAGGCAATCGGCGTCAAAGAAGCTATTATTTGGGCAATTAAAATGGGTTGGCAAAAGGTGGTGATCGAATCGGATGCCGAGTTGGTGGTAGCAGGTGTTCAAGGGGAGGAATGTGCTTCTGCCGTTGGAGTTATCTTCGAAGACATCAATTTTTTGTTAAAAAGTAATGACAATTTTAAAATTGTTTGGTGTAGACGGCCGGCGAATCAGGTAGCTCATTGTATTGCTAGAGCTGCTCTTTCTATGTCTGGTAGTGAAGTTAGTTTCTCTTCTCCTCCTAACTTCATTGTAAGCCATTTGGCGAATGATCTTTTAATATAGTGGGGTGTTTTTTTCTTCAAAAAAAAAAAAGAAACAAAATTGTCAATAATACTATCATTTTTCGATTCTCGACTTCTGTGAGAAAGGTAGAAAGTCATCTAACCGTGTTTCGTGTGTAGCTCTGCCGTTGTGGCTAAGTCTACGGATATGAGGATTGAGGGATATCTTTTACGGATTATTAGATCGAGTATAGGGAAATGATCTGATCAGGGACGTCTAACAAAATGTCCTGCACAAAGTACAAAAAAAGTCCATTTGAGGAGCTTCAAGATCGATTTTTTTGATAAGATTTTGTGAGGGTGTTCTTCATAAAAATCAGATTATTTACACAAAATTTCAGTTTCGAATTCAATTGGGATGTTAGTTAAATAAATTATTGAAAAACATTGCGCTTTTTAAACATATATATAAAGCACACTATTTTACAATAATTTATTTAACAAATTACCCAATTGAATTTTAAACTGAAACTTTGTGGACGTAATCTACACTAATGACAAAATATGCTCACAAACTTTCATAAAAAAATATCATCTGAAAGCACCTCAAATGGGTTTGGTCGTACACAACTCCCGATCAAGCGCGTCTAAGGTGAATACACACACACACACACTATTACTAAATAATTTATGGGCCTCTCTTCCTGGTGGGCTCTGGGCAGCCGCCCAACCTGCCCCTATATCAGGATCGGCCTTGTGTTATTTTGCAATTTATGATTCTTTTGTTTTAAGTTCAACTTTTTTCTATTTTTCATATATTTTGTTTTATATTTTGATTATATAAAGAGAAAATTGATTTTTATTTTAAGGTTACGTTATTATTTAGATATTTTGACATATTAAAGATCTTTTTACACGTGTACTTTTATATTCTTAAATTCTTATAGTTGTTTATGAATTTTACCAAGCTTCCGAAAATCGAAAAGTGACCTATTGTAGAAGTTCGCCAATCTGTAAAATGGTTGGACTGATTCTTTTGAGAAAATTATTGAAATAGAAACGAAAACATTGTCAAACAAAATATAAATATTATGTTTTTATTTTTCAATAAGAGTAACTATTATGAATGTTTTAAAATATTATTGTGTTTAAAGCCTAATAATAATGTGACATTAATTATTTCTATTAAAAAAACAAGAAACATAATGGTCATATTGTAAATTTCGAAAAATTTTCATGCACTACACCTACTTTTTTTTTCACATTTTATACGGAGTATTGAACTCACATTGTTTTTTGTTGTTGGAAGAACTCACATTGTTTTACTTTCTCTAAAATGAAATGTTTGAATATTTAAAACTTAGAGGTCGTTTGGAACACTCCTTTTCGACTTATGAGCCAATATTTTCACCAAAACAAATTTTTTGCTTTCGCGCGCTAAATTGTGTAATAAACAGAAAATGTAAGGTTGTAGGTAGTTTTCTGACTATATTGACTGAAGCTATTGTAGTCTGTAGATAATCATTTTAGCTATTTTTACATACAATTTTTTCTTTATTTTATTAATAAAATATATTTTATAAATAATTTTTTCCAAAAACGACTAAATCAACAAAAACGACTAAATCAGCAAAAACGACTAAATTTGAGGAGAAATAGTCAGTTTTTTTTAGAAATAAATTTTCGTGAAAAGTGGGGACGATTATTGAGGTAGAGAAAGAATATTCTCAAGAATATTAGTCAACATGTGTCAAAAAATGAATATTGTAGTCAACGCCCCTGTTCCAGAACTTCAAATCTTGTCTCTTTTGCTCCCACTTGTCTCTGGAATTTTTGTTTCAGAGCTTATTTTTTCGCGAGACTTCCCAGTCGTCGTCCCAGTAGAATTTTCGCACTATTCCATCCTCTTCAGTCTTCACTAGCTTTCAACATTTTCTCAGGCTAGAACTCCCCTCTTCGTTTATCAGGTATATTTATAGAACTTCTTTTCAATTCGTTGCGCTAATTTTTCCAAAACTAAAATTGAAGAGGGCAAAAACCCCATTTCTCGAGCTTTACTCTTAAGCTGATTGAAAACAGTCCCACTCAAGAAGCTGAATATTTGATTTTTGGTCCACTTTTGGAGGGTTAGAAAAGAAAGCAGAGATTTTTGAAGGATATGAAGATGAAGGCTGCTTGGTAGAAGAAGCAGATGTCATTTGCCTGCTGCCTGCCAATTGTTGAATGTGTGTACTGTTTGGGCTGCGCCCGTTGGGCCTGGAAGAAGTTCCTTTACACAGCAGGCCGGGAAAGCGAAAACTGGGCCCTCTCTTCTGCCAGTGAATTCGAGCCCATTCCCCGGCTTTGCCGGTATATTCTCTCCGTCTACGAAGACGATCTCGGAAACCCTCTCTGGGCTCCTCCGGGAGGATATGGCATTGACCTTGACTCCATAGTCGCCCGGAGAAGCTACGATGACACTCAAGGTAAAGTAGCTCCGTACATGATATATCTCGATCACGAGAATGGAGAAATCGTCGTCGCCATTAGAGGTCTTAATTTGGGCAAGGAGAGCGACTATCTCGTCCTGCTCGATGACAAATTAGGGCAGGCTGAATTTGACGGCGGGTTCGTTCATAACGGGCTGTTGAAGTCGGCTCAATGGGTTGTGGAGAAGGATTCGAAGCTTTTGGGGGAACTAATTGTGAGGTTTCCGAACTACGCCTTGACTTTGGCCGGGCACTCTTTAGGGGCAGGCGTGGTGACCATGCTGGCAATGTTGGCTGTGAAGAACAGGGAGCGGCTTGGCTACATAGAGAGAAGAAGGATCAGATGCTTCGCTATCGCTCCTGCAAGGTGTGTGTCCCTAAATTTGGCTGTCAGATATGCCGACATTATCAGTTCTGTTGTATTGCAGGTATTTCCTTTCAACCATGCTTCCTGTACACGCTACTTGTACACAGGCATTTTACACTCCGATCAAATGTCTATGCACAAACAATTTGACCTGTGCTTAAAATGCCTTGTATAATTTGGATTGTACAAACCACATTTTCCATTTCCTTTACACTTTGCTCCTATGGTTTTATGGCCAGCTCTCGCTGTGAATAATGATTAATGTATGGTGATAACTGATCAGGATGATTTCTTACCTCGGACAACTGTAGGACAGGACAATGCATTCAAGTCACTTTTCTGGTATATAAAAACATAAATGTCCTTCCTTGCCTTCTCTTACTTTGACTTGATATTTTACCTGATTATTAAAAGAACTCTCATGTGAAAGTGCCTCTGCTCCTTTTATTTTCGAGTCATTGTTTTTGCACATTGGGATTGAAGATAGAAGTGTCACAGAAACATATAATGCCTTTATGTTAGAGCTAATTAAACTCAAACGGTTAGTCTATTCAATTAAGGCTAAAGGAACACACATATTTGAAAATAGTTATGCTCTACTAAATCATCATCTTGTAAGCATGTTATATCATCTCACACTTAACAAATGTAAATATACAAAAATGTATGGTGATAATTGATGAGGATTGTTTCTTACCTCGGACAAATGTAGGACAAAATAGTGCCTTCAAGTCACTTTTCTGGTACATATAAAACATTGGAGTTCTTGCCTTGTTTGACTATTACTTGATATTTGACCTGATTATTAAAAAAAGAACTATCCGGTGGAATGAATTTCAGTGCCTCTGCTCCTTTCATCTCCAAGTCATTGTTTTTGCACATTAAAAAAATAAAGATAAAGCTGTAGTAGAAACTCACATATGATGCCTTGAAAGTTGAAATCTTCCTCTTATGGAACCTCAAGTTTCGTTATATTAGAGCCAATTTAACTTTTATAACTCTATATGATATAAGTCATATGACTAAGGAAACACACAGATTTCACACAGATTTTAAATCTAGTATGCTCTCATGAATCACATCATCTTGTAAGCATGCTAAGCATGAATCACATCACACTTAACAAATGTAAAGATATAAAAATAAAAAAATTATTGATATCTATTTTTTGAAATTTTACTTGTCAATGTCCTTCATTACTCTTTTTTTTCTCCTCTTTTTTATTGATAAAAAATTTTTCTCCTCTTTTTTCTTTTTTCGTTTTCTTTTATATTTTTATCCTTATATATAAATATTACTTTATCCTTTTTATTTGATCTTTTATATGTATATTCATCTCTTTTATATTATCTTTTTTTTTATAATAGCTTATCTTTTTTATCTTTATTTTCGTTCTTTTCCTTTTGGTGATATCATATATCGATTCATGTTAGCCGACCCCAATATCGTTTGGGACTAAGGCTTGGATGTTGTAATGTCCTTCATTACTCTATCATATTTGCTTAAAAGTAGGCATAGATACAAGTATACAACGGAATCCAAAAACATGGAAGTTGGTGATACTGAATAACAACAATCTTTTTGAGCTTTTTTTTTCTCTTTTTGTATTATTGTTATGTTTTTTAAGACAATGTCTAGTACAATTAGTACTCTGAAGGTACCTGCATCATCCTTAAAAAATATTTAGCAGGGAAAACTGTCAAATAGGTTCTCGAACTTTCATAAAAAAGTCAAATAAGTCCTTCTATAGGAGACTTTGTTCGGTCTTCGCGATTTGGGGTGGTTCCCGATGGAATTTTTTGATGAATTTTTTTGAGCATCTTATTCATCAAGTCTACTTTACTCATCCTAAATTTCAGCTAAAAATTTAATCGGGAACGCATTCAAATTAATTCGAGAACACAAAAATGCGCAGTTATCTTCAAAAATTAATTTGAATGTGTTCCCGATTGAATTTTTAACTGAAATTTGGTATGAGTAAACTAGACTTGGTGAATAAGATGCTCAAAAAATTTCATCAAAAAATTCCACCGGGAACTGCCCCAAATCGCGACGGCCGGACAGAACCTCCTATAGAAGGACTTAATTGACATTCTTATGAAAGTTCGAGGACCTATTTCACAGTTTTCCCTATTTAGCAGTATGTCCAGAAAGGTATTTGGCTCTATTCTCGCCCACTAATTAATATCCAATAACTTCTGATAGTTTACCATGTGTACTCTGCATAATGTGCTTGAAAGACACGTTCACTATGGAGGAGAAGAAGCTTAAAGATCCTAGACGCCTCTACATACCTGGTCGTCTTTATCACATTATTGCCAGAAAACGGTTCAGGTTGGTGCCTCCTTTATCCTTTGGTAAACTAAAGAAAAAATAATCTCCTGTCAAAGGGAGGACATTATTTACTTTTCCTGGTACCTGATTAGTATAGCAGAAGATAAGTGAAAAAATAATGAAAAGGGGGAAAAAGCCCCTGCGATGTTATTTGTCACAGGTATTAGATAAGACATGTGGCGTGTGGTATCAAAAGACCAAAATAAGTCTTGACAGTCTTGACCAACTTCACAAAGGTCAAAATGGAAAAGATAAGAAAGAAGCAAAGATCACGAAAACGAAGTGAAAACCAGTGAAATCCTAAACTTTATATTCAAAGCCCATTTTTTCAGTGAAAGTATGATTATTTACCAATTTAGGTAAATCAGGCTGAAGAATGGTTGTTAACTGTATATTGAGATTAGCTTCTTTCATTACAGAACATGAACAAATTTATTAGTATGTCTAACCATGTGAACAATTTGAACTCCCTACCCTAGAAGCATCCTATAATTTAAACATAGGTATTCTGCGTCTGCCAATCACCACGCATAACTGCACTATGAATTCAAGTGACAGCTTTCTCTCAATTTGAAAAAAACTCATATTTGAAACAGCTGCTTCTACTGCAAACCATGGCAGTCAAACTCGAGATCCTACATAGGGTTGGAAGGAGCCTTAAAGATCGTAAATCGTAAAATCCTACAACACACACACACATATTTTGGTGTAAAGTTTAGGTACTAGATATGAATGGAAAGATAATTTATAATATAACAATGGAAATATTATTAGTTTAAAGGAACTAACTCTAAACCATATAATCTGTTTTAATATAATACTATAATGGAACACTCTAGTAATAACATTAGAGTTTTAACTGCAATAAAAAAAATGAAAAACATTACTTAAAAATGACCTGGAGGTTGACACAGAAGCTAACAACAGATGAAGAGATCCGGGGGTCAACGACTCGATAGAAAATTGCAGAAGGTATGGAAAGATGAAGAGACAATCGCAGCCGCAGCCGCACAGGGGGATTCATAGGTGTTCAGATGCTTCTCGTTGCTGAGAACTGCAATATATTGGATTATTTCCGTAAATTTTGAAGCAGCGAACCTGTTGTTTCAACTTTCCGTATGTTTCTCCAAGTCAATACTCCTCGGAATAATTTATCCGTACGTTTCCTAAAAGTCGGAAGTTTTTCAATATTTCCAGCAACCTTAAGGAACTAATGGTGATTCATCTGCAATTCTACACTCCTTACAAGTTAACATGATGATCCCAGCAGTTCTTATGATTCTGCGATCTTCAGTAGAAACGGGATCGTAAGAGCTCCTGGGAATTGTATAATCGTAAGATCCTTGGAGCCAACTCATGTTTTTTACTACCTTGCTGCAAACGTAGATTTCCATTTTAATAGCTAGGAATTCAGAACCAAGCCTCACGAAAATCCCGGTTCTCCTTTATGATGAATATGCTGCATCCAATAGCAGAACTATCTTTTTTTAACACTGGCTTTATTTTCTATGAAACCTGCTATTAAATTCGTTTTGTACGAGTATTTGAAAGGGGATAGATGCTATCAAATTCAGAGAATTGACCCCAAGTTAGGATTGTTAAAGTATAAAAATATAAACTCAGAACCATATGGCATCACAATCATAGCAATTAGGCTAGGGTAAGTCTCAACAATGAACAAACTTCACGATTTGTTTGCTTGAACGAGTCAACAACTTGTGGGTCATATTAAGCATCCCCACCATCAAAATGTAAAAATACAACAACCTCTCATATAAGACATTCAACTACTCATTCAATCTGTTTGACATTTTAGGTATGAAACTTCTAGAGTTCTAGTGTCAAATGATGTGAAGCAAAACTCTAGTGTCAAGAAATTTTGTTCTCATCAGACTTACTGCATGCAGCTCCGCGGAGATACCACCTGTTGTCAGGACGTGCATACCTGTGGATGGCCGGTTTGAGCACATTGTTCTCTCTTGTAACATGATGACTGATCATGCAATTATTCGTATATTGGCTGAAGCACAAAGGACACTTGATGTGAGTCTTCTATTTCTTTCAGAAAAAGAAAGGATACTTGTTGATAAAAACTGTGGACAAAACGATTCTACCAATTCCATAATCATTGGTCTTCACATGTCAATTTACTTCATTTTCTTGTTGGTACAGACAATGTTGGAGAGAGAAAATGCAATGTCTATTCCCATGCAGCAGAGAATGGAGCGACAGGCATCTCTTGCAAGAGAGCATATGGAGGAACACAAGGCAGCATTAAAGAGGGCAGTCACACTGAATGTTCCCCATGCGTATTCACCGTCTTGTTATGGTACTTTTCATGAACTTGGACAAGGAGAGGATTCTGGCATATCTCAGTAGTTGCTAGTTGGATGATTTAGCCTGAAGCTTTGCTGAGATGAGGTAGACTGGTAAAAATGGTATTAGAAGTCCATTTACCCCTGGACTATAGAAGAACTTGATCATAGCTAAATATGTTTGTAATTACTCACTCCATTCTATAGTGCTACATTTGTGTTTCGAACAGTTTTAGGAAAATAAAGAATGTAGTTAGTTTTCAATTATAGCACTGGTCCCCTCAAACTAAATGATAATATTTGAGATATAATGTAAAAAAGAGACCAGAAATTCAAAAGAATTTTAGAGTTCAAATTTGAGAAGTGATTTGAGAATTCAAAAAATATTGGTAGTGTGATGAAAACGTGTCACTTTATGTACTTGAATGCAAACTATAATCGTATACCTCACCTGTCTCAAAATGGTTTGTAAAGTTTCACTTTATTTACTTATTATTTAAAATATCAAAATTTTATTATATTCTAATTTGGAAGCAGGCTAGGACATCACATAACTAGAAATCGATGACTTGTTGCTTTATTATTTCATTATGTCAATTTTCATTTTGAAAGTTCACCTATTAAGTTTCAGCTTATCCATTACATGGTTAGTGACTTATGTAGCTCGTTTGTGGGTACCAGAGTTAAGATCTAATCATTAGGCTTATGCTTGAGGTTGACATGATCTTGAATCTATTGTAATGTGATTAGATTTATTGATTTTAATATAGACTATTTCCATTAAAAAAATTGCAATTGTGACTATGATTCTCAATATAGTTTCTATTGACCTTCAACATATGGGGTTGGGGTGCAAAAACAAAGATTTTTAAAAACGGGGTGCAAAGTCCAATTTAGACAATAATATGGGGTGCAAACTCAAATTACCCCATCTTGAATCTTAGGAGTAGACTTAGAATCAGCCACCTCATATAAAGCAACATGACTCGCTAAACCTGAAACGCGCAAACTTAGGTCTAAAACGATCGGAACCGAAACTCTGTCTATCAAAAGAACTCCAAAAATCCAAACATTCAAACCAAATCTACTCGGATTAAAATAGAAACAATTGCTACTAAAGAGAAAATAATACTGAAATAAAATCTTTTCACAAAGCTCTTCCTGGTATGGAGGTGGTTTCGGAGGAGGACGAGCTCTTGCAATATGGATGAATACAAACTCCATCATCGTCGGAATGGCCGACTAAGGCTTTACGATCCAGCCTCGATACAACCTCTCAGCTGCACCTTGTTCATCCGCCAACGATATCTCCTCCGACGTAGTTGCAATTTCAAACGTTAGAACACTTAAAATCGGTATAATCTGCCGCTCCAACCCCATATTGATAGGTATGACGAAAAATCTCAATCCCTACAAAAGGTGGAGACGACCGCTAGAATTTTTCTTTCTAGAAAGAAAGAAGAGAGAGGCGATATGATCAGTCCAACTTTTCCATTAGTCGATTTTAGAAACCGCAAATTGCAATTCAATTTGTCCAACTTTTCCATTAGTCGATTTTAGAAACCGCAAATTGCAATTTAATTTGGGGCTGAGGAAATACGTTTCGGTAAAGTTTTCGTCTCGCCATTTTTTCAAGCCCAAGGGCCCAAAATCTCACTCCCAAGTGGTGAAGAACTTGGCTTTATTGGGTCTTATTTTAAATCCCTACTTGTGGCTCATGAAAGAAGTACACGGTCTAATCCAATCTATCGATCTATCTATCTTCAGTCCTCCACCAGTAGTCCCTACTAGCGACCAGCAAAACCCTAGCAACCCCAACGGCCTCCGTGACTATCTCGGTGTGCCATTGAGGTTTGTCTGAGCAACCGGCGTTAGAAAATGGCGACCAGCGATCAAACGGTGCTTCAGTTTTCTTCTCCTTCTGCAGCAACCCTGTCCGCTCGGGTTCACCCGCTCGTGATATTCAACATTTGTGACTGCTATGTTCGTCGACCGGATCAAGCAGAGAGAGTAATCGGTACTCTGCTGGGATCAGTGTTATCCGACGGAACCGTCGATATTCGCAATTCCTATGCCGTTCCTCATAGTGAGTCACAAGATCAGGTTCGCATCTTTTGAAGTTTTCTTAATTTTATCTGATTCTCAAGAGATGCATTAGATTAAAAAACCACTGCTTTTTTATACAAAAAACATTGGCACTGGTGCTTAGATAGAGAGACCTTCACCTTCAGTATTGTTCCCATGTTATGGAAGGAACCTAAGAAAGCTGGAAATGTTCATATAAAATCTTGTCAAGATAAATTTATTCATGATAATGCCAACAAATAAATATAACTTCTCGGATGAATTAACCCTTAACTATGCTGTGGTTCATACATTGAGCTTTGTAGTTGGGATATCATGAATTTAGAACGGATTATTGTAGTATTATTAATTAATTCACTTCCTTAAGGTTCTCTGTCTATCAAAACAGCCTATTAATGTGGTCAGGACAGAGATAAGGACTTGATTAATGTTTATTTTAGTTCTCTTTTAGTATTTCTTAAACTTTCTTTTGTACATATGACCAAGTCGTTATAGGGAAGAACTTATCAGTTCAAGTGATTGATTTTAGAAGTTAATATGTGTTTTAGGTTGCCTTGGATATTGATTATCATCATAACATGCTGGCATCCCATCAGAAGGTGAATCCAAAGGAAGTCATTGTTGGCTGGTGATTCTCTATGTCCTTTTTCATGTGCTAGTTAGTTGTCACCTGTGGCATTCACAGACTTATGTCATATTCTTCTTTCTGATTAATGTCTCTTTCATTATTGTTTTCCTAGGCTTTTTCACTTTTGTCTTCTTAATCATACTGTGCTGCTAATCATTGAGAATTTAACTGCTGAAAACTTAATTCCATCCTCTCTGGATTGTTAGGTTTTCCACTGGATTTGGAGTTTCAGGCGGAAGTGCTCTAATCCATGAATTTTACTCTAGAGAAGTATCAAATCCTGTACATTTGACTGTTGACACAGGATTTAAAAATGGAGAGGCGTCCATCAAAGCTTTTATTTCTGTGAATTTGACTCTAGGGGATCAACCCATTGCCGCAGAGTTCCAGGAAATTCCATTGGACTTGCGTATGATTGAAGCTGAGCGGGTTGGATGTATGTATCTACTAGAAATCTTGAGCCTTCCCAATCTAAATACAACTCCCTCCATCCTAGCTTAAGCTTCTCATGTGCCTCTTTTGTACGTTCCAGTTAAAGATTCTCATTTCTTTTTTAGGAAATAACTAGCACTCTAAAATGACAATTTAGTCATTAATTAAATATTAAAATGAATACACCTATAACATCACAGTTATCTTCAATGACATTATTATATTATATACTTATCAAAACTACTTCTCAAAGTATACTCGAATAACCTTATTTAATTATTGTCTAAATAGTCATGTCATTTTTCAATGAGAAGCGTAAATCGGGACAGAGGTAGTATTTCTTATGAGCTTATGTATTCCTATGTAAGCTTGTTTGTATGAAATAATTAAGATAGTTGATGTAACTCTTGATGATGTGGGCCATGTTTACGGAAGATTAGTTCTTGTATGCTAATTGTTTAAGCCCATTCACTTTGTTTATTGGCCTTTTAATGAATCTGGATGTGAACCATTCAAGTTAATTTTTTTTGTATTCCTGATAATTGAAATTCTTATCAAAGTTTATTTGCATGACCAGTTGATATACTGAAGAAAACAGCCGTTGACAAACTTCCTAATGACCTAGAAGGAATGGAGGCATCAATGGAGCGATTGCTTGTTCTAATTAATGATGTTCACAAATATGTTGATGACGTTGTGGTAACATCATCTTACTTTTTTGTTGGAACTTCCGAGCAGTCGAGCACATTCCTATAAACTCAAGTTCTCAACATCTGTTTTAATTTTTCTTCCTTTTTAGGAAGGCCGTATTCCACCAGACAATAACCTTGGAAGACTTTTGGCTGAGACTGTAAACACCATTCCGAAATTATCACCACCAGAATTTGATAAGCTTGTGAATGATGGTCTTCAGGTTTGTAATCTCCAGAACCCCATTCTTATTGTTCAAAGGACCTGGTTAAGTTTTATAAATGCACATATTAATTAAATTTCTAAAACATAATATTTAATTCTCAAAATTGCACAAGCTTCTGTTGTTTATTAATCTCGCTCTTGTTTAACATTAACTATTCCGTATTGTGTATTGCTGTTATCTTTTAACCTATATGATGAATTACACATCTGGATTCTAGATGACTGAAAAATGTCTTGTTTTAAACTTGTGACATTTCAAGGCTACCATTGTTTATTTAGTTTCTTTCACTTGACCCGTGCTTAACTGGTAATTGTATTCCCTTGCCAGGATCAATTGCTATTACTATATCTATCGAGCATCACCAGAACACAACTTAGCTTGGCGGAAAAGTTGAACACTGCTGCTCAGATCCTGTAGCTCTAAAGTCGACCTTTTGCAAGTCACGCCAGTTGTTACACATTTGGTTTCTTATGGGTCTGTTAGCCCACCAATGGCTGTTAGTTTTGAGATTATATAGTTTGATATTATTTATTTTTCTTTTTCATGATATTTTTTCCCTTGTTTTTGTAAACATTGGCTGCGATCAGCTTTTTTCCCATGGTAAAGGACTTGTTGTGAATGAAACCCGAAAAAGGATCTAACGATTCTAACTTGACTGTTTATCTCTACATTCCAAATGATAATACGCCCTGTTTGCTCTAATTATGTATGATTGTATGCCGAGTGCTGACTGCTGAAGCTGATGGATTATAATTTCACCCATTTCGCAAATTGCTATGCATACACTTTTGCTATCCGGGCTTATTTTTGTACATTTTGTTATCATATGCTTCCTGTTTTTTACCATCTGGCATCTACCCAAGAATTAAAGCACTGATTTATATTTAGGGAATTTGATGCCAGTAATCCCAACTGTAGTTGATCTACTTCTAAAAAAGTCAAGTTTTCCTTGATTACTCAACTTTAAAAATTGTTGTTTTACTCTTACCTCTACTTAATAAATGTGCTAAAAAATTACTCCGTATTAGTAGTTTTATTAGGCGGAGGGAATAAAACTATTACTCCCTTTGTCTTACAAAAAAAATTCAATTGTATGATTGAGATTTGTGTAAAAAAAGGGATAATTTTAATTATGTATATTTTATTTTAAATAGAATTGATAAACTGTTTTAGGTCAGTTAAATAAGAAAGTATTACAAAATTTAGTGGGAAGGAGGAAAAATGAGCCATCAGGCATTGTATTTTTTTTTTTTAAGTCCATTCTTGTTTTTATTTGATCCTCATCATCCTGGAGTGTCATGGGGATACCAAACATACTTCCCGAATAGG